CTGATGGGATAGTAGAAAAGTACAATTGGACACTGAAACAGGAATTGGCAAAGTTTTGTAATAGCAGCCAAGATGACTGGGATGTCTTACTCCCTCCACTGTTGATGGCCTATATGACAGCAGAGCATGAAACTACTGGATACACTCCAGCAAAGTTGTTGTTTGGTCGGGAACTTCGGTTGCCAGTGGATCTGTTAACAGGACGCCCACCTTATGAAGAGTTGCCTGAAAATGTGTCAGAATTCGTGAAAGTATTATCGGAAAGGATGGATAATATTCACCATCAAGTGCGTTCAAACGTCTGCTGATTCGATGAAGCTATGTTATGATAAGAAATCTACTGAAGTCAGCTTTGTACCAAGAGACAAGGTGTGGTTGTATATTCCCAGGAAGACCAAAGGGAAGTCTCCTAAGTTGTCTTCTCCATGGGAAGGCCCATATGATATAATGTATCGTCTCTCAGACGTGACTTTCCGAATAAAATGTGGTCGGCGAGGTAAACCAAAGGTGGTGCATGCCAACAGGCTTTGACATTATCCCAGTCCAGGTCAATTCAGTTGGAACGAAGTGAACAATGGAACAAATGACACTGCCGAAGAAGTGTCACCTGAAAAAGCCACTGTCGAAGAAGAAACTCTACCCGGTTTTGAGAAGGAAAACAGTGAAGTCATTAATGAAGCTACTACCACTAATGTGACTGCTACTAATAATGGGACATTTTCTGATGGAGCAGATGAATCCCACGTGAAGCAGAAGCCAACGACACAGAGACCAGTACGAAAGAAGATACGTACTTTAAAATTAAGAGACTTTGTTAGATTTTAATTTTGTGCTTGTAAATTCTGTACACTTAATTAAGTTATTGTTAATTATCTATTGGTTTAATGTAAGTGGCTATTGTTCGGGACGAACAATACTAAGGAAGGGGCAGTGTTACGACAGTGGAAATCACGCGATGCTGGGAGCATGCGCGCTGCAGTTTCTCGAAGGATCATGAATTTCCCGCCAGCTCGAGTGTGATCTAGATGCCCTCTTTTTTTAATATATAAGCCTGGTAGAGAGGCCAGCGATAGGCAGAGAGATAACTGAGTCAAGCGAACAGTATGTACTGTAAGTAAAGTGTGTGAATCACTGTGATTTATAGTGTGTATGTTATAAAAGTTGTTAAGTGTATTTCAAAGTTTGTATCGAGAAAGAAAAAACTAGTTTTAACCAAGAAAGGACTTGTATCGCTGAAGTTTCTTGGAAAGAATTTCTATGGGAAATTAACAAACAAGGAGATACGTAACAATTGTTTGTTTGTTATAGATTTTGCGCAAAGCTACACGAGGGCTATCTGCACTAGCCGTCCCTAATTTAGCAGTGTAAGACTAGAGGAAAAGCAGCTAGTCATCACCACCCACCGCCAACTCTTGGATTACTCTTTAACCAAGGAATAGTGGGATTGAACGTCACATTATAATGCCTCCACGGCTGAAAGGTCGAGCATGTTTGGTGGGGCGGGGATTCGAACCCGTGACCCACAGACTGCGAGTCGAGAACCCTAACCACTTGATCATTTCGGTACAAACAAATTAGATTTTTTCTTGTACTTTTATAATCAAATTTTCTCATACTTTTCGATTCGCCAAGTTCCAAATCATTTTCTCTTTGTGGGATGCTCTCTCCCAGCTGCTCAGCAGCAAGTCAACAGACTTACGACTTAAAAATCGCGTTTCGATATGCATGATAGGCAGAGCACTCATAGCCCATTGTGTAGCTTTGTGCTTAACAACAACCCAGTCAATACTTGTGGGACAGCGGTAAGCTTACAACGCAAAAAATCCGGATTTCGATTCCTCGCGATTACTCCCCTTCCAGAATGAGAATGACCAGTCATGTGTATAGCGCTAGTAGTGAGTAAGTTAGACGTTTCCCGTTAAGTAATAAATATAGAATTTGAATAGTATATACAAGATCTTACATGAGTTTGTTGACAGAAAGATATCTTGATCAGTTAACAAGTCTAGCACCCTAATTCAAGTGTGTACACTGTGATTGTCTATTGATTTTAATTTTGTGTAACGCATTGTGTTCAACTGTTTATTTCTTTGCTTGAACTCAGTTAGTTTAAGTGAATCCAGACTTACTTTATAATTTACCATACGAATCCCCTGTTATAAAGCGAACTTACTTAAGACTCTTTTGGGAAGTCAGTTAACCCGAGAATATCACACAAATGTGACATAGTTACCGTAATTTGTAAATATTTCATAAGCTTTAAAGCAATTCAGAACTAGTTTTAGTTTTTGATTTGTGACATTTGTTTAAATTAATATTTGGACAGTCTTCTATAATTAGCTGAAAATACCATTTCTCTAATTTACGTTAATGATTGGTTATGATATTAAAATGCTTCATGAGTAACAAGCCAGTATATGATATTTAGTAGAACCGTAAATCAGTCCGTGGCTATTAAATCGAAGGACCATTGTTAAGACCGCAAGGTGCACTGCATAGATAGTAGGTTATAATTATTATCATCAACGTTTTTTACGTTAAGAGGGCGTTATTATTTGGAAAAGAAAATGGCAGCAACGATTTCTTCGTACGTTAGTCTCGCGAGACGGTTTTGTAGTCTTGCTCCTCGGTTTTCTAGAAATATTTTGTGTGATTCTTCAAGAAGGTAATTATTGATTTTTATTAATATTATTATAGACTGAGAATTAGGAAGCTGAATTATTTAATATTAATTGACGTTTCTTTGACGCTGCCATGTGCTTATACTTAAGTTATAGTATAACTTATAGTAGTGTGGTGATACTAATATTGGTATATTATTGCATAAGCCGATATTATCATATGACTTACATTAAACTCTTGGTTACGTCTGTTTAGATTGTTACCGTACGTGTATCACTTGAGTTAAAATGTAGGTCTTGAACCGTCTTTTTTGGCCAATTAATTATTTGAAGTAACTTGCAAAACTGCCAGAGATGCTATCAAGAAAAAAAGATCAGATGCTCTTTTTCTATTAGTAGATATAACTTAAAGTTAAACTAGTCAGCTCATGTAAATTTCCAAGGAGCATCACCTTTTGATATTTTTTAATATACTATTAGATTTTAAATCTATTTGTGATAATAATTACATTTCCCAATATGAAATGAAAAATATAAAACACCACACTTGAATGCTCTGCTTTTATTTGCTATTTTAAATAAAACTTTGGGGATACCATTGAAAAATGTGTGAGAACTATGTGCAAAAATCTACCAGAAAATACTTATTGATCAATTATTAGTGTTTTTGTTTTTTTCATAACTGTTGTGCATTTATTGTCAGCTATTTTTTATGACTATTGCTTAGAACTGATCTGAATATTCATAATGGTAACATAACGTATGGACACCAAGTGATCCTCTACAATGGATTTCAGCATATTTTATAACGTAAAGTTTTGAGATAACATGAGACCCATTGGTCAATCTCGGTTGTTCCATTCTCTAAACTAAACTAAAAGTATTAATAAAAATATTTAAAAAAACAATCATAATTCCAGCCCTTATCATTCATATACTTATCAAGCTTTCTCTTAAACTCATTTAAATTTACTGCCTCCACAACAACTTAAGGCAACCCATTCCAAAGGCCAACTACCCTGTTAGAACAATAAAACTATCTTACCTGAAGATGACTCCTACACTGCCAAAATATATACTTGTGTCCTCTAGGCCTATAATATCTTGGATCCTCCCTCAACCTCTTTTTCTCTTTAAAATAAAAATGGGGCCCACATTCACTATTTTCAGCATCAGGTGTCAGTTCATCGTGTGTCTTCTTTCATTGTTTTAAATAGAAATTATTTTGAAAAATGTGTTTAAGAATACATGAGACTTGAATGGTCTTTGAAAAATTTTGCAAATAAGTATTCCATATAGAAAGCTCTGATATTTCTTAATTTTTTCTAACATATATAAAAAAAAAAAAAATTGATTGCGAGAAAAAATGACCATTACTACTTCATCTTGCACAGAGTATATCAATAATCACATGCACTTGCAAAGAAAGTGTTTGGCTATTTGCAAGAATTTTAAAATGATCAAGAGAACACTGGTCATAACATGGAAAACATGGATGAGAGGTCTATTAATGTGCAGGTTGGGGAAACTCATTTCTTAGCAGCGGCATCAAGTGAGAGACGCATTGCCCAACATGATGAGACGACACTTGTTAGTTGTATTAAATCATCATCTGTTTCAAGTTATGTTAACAATTGGATAGCATTATTAGAGATCAATACCTTCAGAAACTGTTACTTTGAAAAGGATACTGTAAAGTTTCCATCATTGAACTGAAACAAGCATCACTGTAAAAAAAAAGCTTCAAAGTTTCTGTCTTGGGTAAACAAAAAACTTGAAATTTATATTAAAATATTCTTATTAGAAAAATTTACATGATAATGATAGAATGAAGACACAACTGTCTTAGTATATTTTGATATATGTTCATTATGATGACTTTTTTGTTTGACATAATATGAAGTTCTATTCAAAGTTATGTTATGTGAAGGGGGTTCATTACAAAACTTGCTTACATGAAAAATTTGTGAAAATGCCACGATTTAATAAATAATAACTTCTGATCAGAGTATTCCATGTATTTAGAGTGGAACTAAAAATTAACCTGGTCATCAGTATTGCTAATTAAATTTCCTTTTTTTACATTTATATTTTTTAAAGGTTAGAATGCATTTTTTATCAGTTCGATACTCTTGCTGTTAACGATATTTTCAGCTATTAATATCTCTTGAGGTTTATTCGACTTAGTAGATTTAAATTAGTCTTTTATACAAGATCTAAGCTAACAATGCAAAAAATAGAAATAATGAAAGTTTAATAATCAACAAGAAATGAAAATAAAAAGTAATTACATTTGTTATACTAACTAGTATAGTATGCATATGGTTACATTTCAAAATATACTTACCATCTGTTGACAGTTTTAGGTATTCCTCGATCTCCAGGGTTTCAACTTGCCCATCTAAGCATTGGTCTGATTTTTTTCTTGCTTGCTACAGTCTTTTATACCCCACTCAGTTACATTTGATGATATTTGTCTTGTGATACTCTCCACTCATGTCAATGTGCCTTCTATCCTGGTCCTGTATATAAGCACCTCATTTAAATAATTCTATCACTTTTTCTCGACAGTGTTTAGACACAGGTTTCTCTACACAATTGCTGCAATAATTAATGTACCTAGTTGCAATTTTCGTGTAACCTAGTGGCTTTCTGTATAAATTATATTTAATTAATATTATTTAAAGAAAAAATAAAAATTGCGACACTGTTTTCAGGTATGATTTCATAGGTTACCGTTTCCAGCATGGAGGCTAATCAGCCCTCCTCTACCTCTGTTACCTAGCGCTTATTAAAGGTCAGGGAGGTTTACTCTCAGTTGTGGTTGTTCGTGATTTTATTTATTGTGAGAGGGAGTTCTGAGGTTGCTTTTATCAATGATCCAGGACAGTCTAGCATTTCTTAAAGGTCAGGGAGGGTCACTCTCACTTGTGGTTGTTAGTGATTTTATTTGTTGTGAGAGGGGGTTCTGAGGCTGCTTTAATCAATGATCCAGGAGAGTCTGGAGAGAACTTGGATTCTCTTCTTCCAGCACCTTGTTTACTAGGTAGGATTCTCATGAGGCCAAGTTAGATCAGCCACCTTCTGCTCCATTTCTTCAGTTAGTCAATCAGGTTTTGGGGGTTTCTCCGGTTGCCTTTGAATTTTCTCCTTCCTTGATGGCTGAAAGGTCTGTTGTGATATTGCTGTTCATGCTGGGAGATATGTGGAGTTCCAGACTGGATCCCATGATCACTTTGAACAGATCACAGTTTCTAAGATTTGTTTGACCCTCACTCCTGTACTGACGACCCCCCCCCCCCCACACACAACAAAATTTGTCAGAAGCCACATCAAATTGAGGACGACTTGGGTCTTTTGTTGACTTCTACCTTGGTAAGATTATCAGCATCTGCTCATTCTTTGGTTTCCTAGCTTGTATGTTGTTGGGATTTATTGAGTAGAGGTGCCTAGTTGGAGGGAGTTCATCTACCTGCTGTAGCAATTAGTGAGTTACTTTTCTTTGTCCCTTGATGTTCGCGGGCATCCCAGAAGTGTTGGAATCATGAATTGTTGTTGGCCTCTGGACTTTCTTTGGCTCCTACTGGAAGTCATGGCATTGGGGTTGGTCATTCCATTAACTTCTCCACCTTCATTATCCTCCCAACCTGTGATATTTCCACCACCATGGAGTGTGGAGAGTTATTGGTCAAGGGGATGGTAGAGAGAGTCGATCCTGTTCTTCTGAGATTTTATTTCTCGTTATTTGTTGTGCCCAAGAAGATGGAAGATTAGTGGCCAATCTTTCTCAGCCCAACCAATTCTTAGGTTAACAATGGAGTGTTTTCTCAACCTACATTGGCATTCTTCACCAGGTCTGTGGATGACCAAGTTTGATGTTGCTGATGCATATCTCCACAGTCTCATAGCGAAGTTTTCCTGCCACTATCTACATTTTATGCACAGGAGTCCAGTTCCACAGTTCAGGGATCTACTCTTTAGCCTAGCATCTGTGCCATATGTAATCTGCAGAGTCGTTCGAGTTTTTCTTGTCACCTTCATGTTTTGGACCTGTGCACACTCGATTATTTGAATGACTGGTTACTTCTGGCACAATCTTGTCAGTTGTCAGAACAACGCACCCAGATTCTCCTTTCAGAAGTCACCAAGACTGGCCTTCTTATCAGAGTCAAGAAATCCATTCTCTTGCTGACTTAAATATTGTCCATCTGGGTGTCTCTTTCAACATGTTTTAAACCAGGCTCAGCCACCTCCCATCTCGCTCCAGGCTATGGAATGGACAGTCAGGCTCTTACTTACTTGAATGGTTCTATCTCTTTTGGGGATGTGAGCATCCCTTGAATCTCTGATTCCCTCTGGATGAGTACACGTGCGGTCCCTTTAATGATCACTGCATGACTAGTGGATCGGAAATTTTGATCCTCTGGATCATCCAGTCTTATTCATCAGGAGCAACTTCTTAGTTCTTGAGTGGTTAGATCGAATCAACACTACCATTTGGGTTCCTTTACCACCCCCTTTTCTCGAGTTCCACTTCTTCACTTCAGGGATAGGGTGCATATATCAAAGGTCAGGAATTCCAAAGCCTATGGATGTATCATGAATCTTCCTTCCACATCAGTAATTTAGAAATCTTGCTGTCCAACAGGCAATGGTTCAAGGTCTAGATGTATTGCAGGGGAAAATAACCATGATTCATTCTGTCAATTCCATGGTGGTCTGTTACATTTTTTGTCCTGGGGGCACGTGTTCTCAGGACCTTTGTTTTTGAACTTTGGTAATTCCCTACTGGCCTCACTCCCATCATAGCAGCCTCCTAGCTTGCCATGTTCCAGGGGTGATGAATTTCCTAGCAGATCACCTGTTTCAGCCCAGTTGAATTCTCCTGATCAATTGGATGGTCCATTGCAAGGTTTTCTGGTGGATTTGCTCTCAGTTCAGGACTTCAATGATTGATGCAATCGCCACTCCTTGAAACTCTCAACTACAGATAGATGCATTCGGTCAAGATTGGATGAGATTGCACCTCCATGCCTTTCCCCCA